AGGGACACTGTTCGAGCACGGTGGCCATCTCCATCTCCACCGCGTCACCAGGCCACTGGCGCTGGGGACGGGAGAGACGAAAGCTGTCAGCCCCTCTCTCTGGCTTGCTCGCTGTCCCAGACCATCCACCCTTTGGGGGCTCCAAGGGGCTTGTTCCTCCGGAGTGGGTGAGGAGAGGCGCTGACTCGGCTCCCCTCGTAGTGACACCAGGGAGAACTCAGACCAGACCAGACGAGACCCTGGCCGAGTGGTGGCCTCGGAGGAGACTCAGGAGGGAGCGTTCCCTGAGTGCAGAGCACAGGGGCAGGGGCTGCTGACCTGGTTGTCTACGCGGAGCTCAGTGAGGGTGGCATTTTCTCGCACTGCCTTCAGCACAGCCATGAGCCCTGTGCTGCTGATGAAGTTGGATTCAATGTTCAAGCTCTGGAGGCTGCGATTCTCACGCAGCATGTCAGCCACCGCCTGTGTAGGAGGGACTGGGGTTAGGATTAGGGGCCAGTTTCGCAGGTGACAGGAGCAGGAGGGAAACAGCTCTTTGAGAAGAGGAGTCCCTGCGGAGCTGTGGGTGAGGCCACAGGGAGGCCGGAGTAAGGCTGGGTGTAGGGGAAGGAGGCAGATTAAGGACTGTGCAGGTGGGGGCAGGGGGTTGGGACTATTCTTCAGGAAGATGACTGAGGATCTCAGAGCTGTGAGCTGTAGGACTGAGGGCAGGAGTCCCCATCGGGGCCATGCTAAGAGGACGTGATGGGACTGGGACCCCCAGCACAACCATTTATGACAGCCTTGAGAGGGGTGCATATCACGGGATGGAGACGGCTAGTGGTGTCAACTAGCCTTACGTTGGCAACGGGGTCACCGCTTTTCGTGGCCACCAGACTGAAGCTCCGGATGTGGGTATTTGTCTTCATGGCCTCACACAGCTCAGTCAGCATGGGGATGGAGATGTCCTGTCGGGGACAGCAGGTGGTGGGCTAGGGGCCTCACATGTCAGCAGTCCTCCCGGTGTTACTCTTTGGAGGGTGAGGGCCAAATACCTGTATATTATTCAGGTTCACCTCCTCCAGCTCCTTATCATCGCTTCGAACTCTCTTTAGTATCTCCTCGATGTTTGTGGGGTTTGGGGGCTCATCTGGCACTGGCTTATACTTGTCAGGCTGTACCACACCTGTGAGTGAGGGCAGGAGGGTAACCCCAAATGTCCCTCCCATCTCGTCCCCATTGGTTCTCTTATCACTTACACACCATGTCCTCTCCCCATTCATCTGTTTCACCCTTTGCTACCTTTCCTCAGACTCTGGGACTGCCTGCCAAGAGCCCTGGGGGCCACGCTCCCAAACACTCACTGCTAATGCCTTCAGTGTTGCAGATTTCACCACTGCAGATGGCGTCGTAGTATTGCTTGTTGCTCATCAGTGTGTACATGCCCAGAATTGCTGGAAAGAGTGAGGGGGTGGGGGGACAAGGAATGAGAAGAAGGGACTTGTTTCAACCCCCACCCAGCCCCGAATCTGTTGCATTTCTAAAGCCTGACCTCTTTTGCCCTTCCAAAGAGGTTCCCACCCTCCCTGGGCCCCAGGGATCCCCTCCATAAATGGCTTAAGGCATTTTTAAAAACATTGACACGGGGCTAAGAGAAAGTCCCTAAGGAGCCACTAGAGGGTTCCATTTTTATTTGCTTTATAATCCCTATAAAATTGCCCTTGAGATGTTAACTTACTAAATTTAAAATGAATGAATAAATACATAAACAAATCAGAAAAATCAAAACCACTACCACAAACATCCTTGTCCTGGTTCAGAGCCTTCCCCGAGTCCCATGCCATGAGTGGGACCCCCTGCCGATCTTCCCGCTCTCAACCTCCCACCGCTGCCCACCTGCAATGTCACACATCTCAGCATCTGTGGCGTGGGCCAGTGCTTCCTCCAGCTCAGGCTCCAGAGTGATCTGCTCCTCTGCTGGGATCTCCCTCTTGGGCTGAATATAGGGTTTCCCTGGAGGGAGAGGGAGGATAGTACAGGTAGAGGTCATTTCTTCTAAGATCCTAGCCTGCAGCTTCCTTGCTTTCTCCGGAAGGTGGGATGCTGGGCCTCTAGGGGCCAAAGCCAGAGTCATCAACAAGCTCAGAACCTCTATGTCCCCTGATCTAAGAGCTGAAGAGTGCAAGCTGGCATGCAGGTACCATGGCAGCTAGGAGCTGGCAGGAGTGAGGGAAGCTGGAGGGGGACATGTGAGGGACAGCCATCTGGGTTCCAGGGGACATGGACGTTGGGGTCTCCTTACCCTTCTTCTCGCCTGTGTAGGGCACCAAGTCATCACGCTCTTTGACCTCTAGTGCCTGCTGCTCCAGGTACTGCAGAAGAGCGTCTCGGTCCAGCGGCCCTGTTGGGCTCTTCTTGGTCTGGTCACGTTGTCTTAGTCCAGCTGGCAGGAGCATGTTCTTAGGGATGAGTTGGGGGAGCAAGTCAGAACTCCCCTCTGACCTGCGGCACCTCCAGGGCTCCCTAGAACATCTCCAGACACCTTCTCCCTGGCCCTCTTGGGGCTCCAGGCCCTGTAGGTGGCCCTGGTTTCAGCCACCCAGAGCCCCACACCCTTCCTGCCCTGGTTCCCCATGCTGGAGCCCCTACCTCGGGGTCCATCTCCTGTAGCTCGCAGTCCAGCTGCTCTAGCTCCTCAGGGCTCAGGCTCCTTAAGATCTCATCTTCATCTATGTCTCTGTATTTCTCCAGTTCCTTCTGATACGATGACATGATGGCCCCCACCCCCTCCCCACTATGTGGCACTCACGGAGCCTGGGGAACATGGGGAAAGTGGTTGGACAATGGAAAGACGTACATGGATACACAGTAGGGACAGGAAGAGACCGGCCAGGGGGGCAGAACCATGAACTGGATGCCTTGGAGGTTAGAAATCTAGTTGGGCGTGGGAAGATGGGGGTAGGGTAGGTGGTTTAGTTAGAACCAGAGCCTCCTTTGCCCTGCTTCTCCGGCTTCCAGCCGTCGGGATCCCAGGCATCCAAGCTGGATTTGCCTCCCCACTGTGTGTGACCCAGAGATCCTGGCAGCACCCCTCCCCTATAACGTCTCCCGTCGGTGCCTCCTGGCCTAGCACAGCTGCTGGGAGCCCTACCAACACAGCTGGCTGCAAGCCCAGTTCCTATTGAAAGGAGGGGGGCAGGCGGAGAGCTTCAGGGATATTCCTTCTCTCTTCCCCATAATCCAGCCTTTTTCCTAAACTGGTTTAAGAAAGGAGGATTCGGGGACAGAGACAGTTCTCTTACCCACCCTCATTTCTTCTTTTATCGTGGGGGATCACGACTTCACTATCTATGTTTGCTACAGTTCTGAATCCTAAGGAGAAACAAGGGCTCAGAGGCCCTGGAGTGGGGGGTACCTCCAGGTTGGGGGAAGGGTAGTATGGCCTCAGGAGAAAGGGCTGAGTCCCCATAATTTTTCCTGGCTTTGGATGGGAAGGTGGGGAATGCCTTCGAAATGGGATAAAGTTTCCCTAAAAACAGTGGGGGGATTCAACTTGCAGTCTTTTACAATATAAAAAGTATACACACAAGCTACACATACACACCATGCCAAGTATGAAAGATCCAGAAAATGTGATACTTACATTGACAATGTCAACTACAGAGTTAAGGGCTATGACGGACAGTGGCAGAGACATACACTGAGTGACAGAGACACAGACATACTTCGTATCATTCCCACTAGAAGCCACTCTTGTCCTCCCATCTCCCGCCGGGCCCTGGTCCATAAGCCCCCTGCCGTCCCACCTACCAGTCCTGGCGGCCACCTCCCTTCTCACCTCCCCTGTTGGTCGGTCTGTTGGTTCTACGGGAGCTCTGTCCAGGGAGCAGGACGAGCCCAGTGCCGGGCGAAAGGGTGGGGGAACAGTGAGCTCAGCATTTTATTATTTTAGCTCTGGCCAGGTGGGGGGTAGTGGGAGATCGCATATACACAGCCCCCATACCCTGCCCAGCCCTGAGAACCTCTAGTGGCCACCAATAGCCATGACACCTCCTCCCTGACACTTCATAGAAACTGGGGTTCGACCACAATCAGTTAGTTCGTTTATTTGGTGCCTGCTGTATTCAAAGCAGTGACTAGAAGGTGACATGAAGGTGAGTGTAAGGATTTTGTTTGATGTCTAATTTAAGGTGTTTATAATCTAGCTGAAGGAATAAATACTTTACAATTTAAAAAGGGCAGCTCATGATAAATGCAGTTCAACAAAATTAAAGACCCATCTACCCTCAAGACATTCACACTTGCTTCCAACCCTAGATGGGACACCAAACAAAAGGGATCTTTCTATTTTATTAGATTAAAAAACACAAACAAAACCAGTAGGAACTAGGGGGAAAGATGGTGAAAAAAATACAGAAAACGGCCGGGAAAAGGCTAGAGGTGACAAAGGGAGAAGCAGGGCGAGGAGTGAGGACGTGGAGAGCCCCACGGCAGGGCAGGAAAGAGGTCTGTAAGGGCTAACTGTCTCTTCACTTGATGACAATTTTCTGGCGCAGGGCTCGAGGCCCGGAGCTGGGGAGGGGCTCAGGAGGTGGCGGGCCCGGGCCCAGGGCTGAGGCCGCGGGCGGCAGTCCGTGCGCAGTGATGTACTTCTTGTAGGCCTCACGAATGATCTTGAAGGCTCGAGCAGTGGCGTAGGGTATGTCTGTGACAGGGTCCCGGTACAGGGCTGGGCGATGGGTCACTGGGCACACCTCCCGAACAGGGACCTTCGGGGGCCGCCCCTGGGGAAACCATTCCTCAAATGTCGCATCATCACTAAAAGTGATGAAGGTCCGTGAGCAGCGAGCAGGAGGGATGGCGGCTCCAGTCCCGGCGCCGGGGGTCAATGCAGAGGCCGTGGGAGCAGGGTCAAGTCTGAGGGCAAAGACAGTGATACACAGAGCTGAAGAGCGAAAACAACAGATGGAGAGAGAAGAAGAGATCAGAGAGGTGAGGGAGGAGGAGGAGCAGCAGAGCGATGGCAGCATCTGGAGGAACCCATGCAGGGACAGATGGGAAAGGAAGGCCGGGCCGGATGGGAAAACAGAAGAGGAGGAGGCTGCAAGGGAAAGAAAGGAGGCGAGGGGGAGCGGAATCTGCAAGACGGCCAGTGTCAGCGAGAGCTGAGTGAGGACAGCAGGCGAAACGGGGCTGAGGGCGAGAATGCAGCTGAAGGAAGGGAGGAACCTCCCTTCTCTTTTTCCGAGTGTCACTCACCCTTCCACATCCACGTTCTCTTCTTTAGGGCCCGGGTCCCCAACCAGCGGCACTGTCACTGAATGATAGGTGATTATGGGCCCGGGGCACTTGCGTTTCTTGTGAACCTGCTTCTTTTTATCAGCCTCGAGCCGCTCATACGTCTCTTCAGGGTCACGGGAAGGAATGAGAGGATGGTCAGTTCTCCGTTTTCCACCCCCACATCTGTCCTACAGCCTCTCAGGGATCTTCCTGGCTGTCTCGGCACTGCCTCCCCCGCCCATTAGGAAAGTCCTCCCAGGCCCCCCCCCTGCGTCCCCCATTTCACAAGTTCCCTGCTGGCCTCTCCGCTCATCGTTTCTCAAGCCCACTCGGCTCCCCACCCACTCAGAGCTGTAGGGCTTCGGAGCTGGAAGGGACCCTTTGAGGAGGGAACTGCTCGTTTCCCTGGACACCCCACAATTGCCCTGTCAACGCGCTCCATCCAAGGCAGTGCGTCACAGCTTTCGGCATCTCCAGTCATTACAGGGTTCTTTTCCTACTGTGAGCTGAAACACTTCCTGATGACACTGTTTCACCTTTTTAGGCCATAAAGGACATAAGTCTCATCTGTCTTCCACATGACAGTCCTTTAAATAGTTGAAACGGGTGTCACGTGTTTCCAGGCTGATCGCTGCACCCATTCCTCATACAACACGGATCTGAGTCCCTCCCTCCGTCGGCCACCGCTGAGCCTAGGACACTCTTCTGTGACTGGACTGATCACAGCCTATGGCGGAGGTTGCAGGCTGGCAGCCCACCCAAGTGTTTTGTTTGATCCGTATAGCGTTGTAAAGGAAAATCTGAATTGGTTGCTGACATTGAAAAATTAGGCAATTCATATTTAAATACAGAGATTTCTGGTCTCTCTTTAAAAAATTATGAGACAGTGTGGCAACCCTGGGTCTGCATTCTCACACGGTGAGACTCAGCTGAGGCGATTCCTCCTGTTGGGCCCACCTCTCTGATCCACCCGGCCCCCTGGCCAGACCCTGGGACACTGCACTATGGCAGCTCACTGTTGGGATGTGTCTCTTCAAGGGCAGTGACTGGGCTTCACGCTACCCCCACATTATCAGGTCATGCAGCATTCCACACATAACAGGCACTCAGTGAGTATTTGTTAATGCATAAACAGACCAAAATCTTCCTGGCCCCTTTCCTCTGCATTAACTCCAAATTTGTGTCCGTCCTAAACGCGGGTACCATGAACACTATCCTCTAGATGAAATCTGACCAGAAGAGAGTTCTCCAGAAACCCTTCCAGTGATTTAGCGGCCTTTGTATTTGAACTCTGGTTGATAGTATTTCCTTTCCCTTGAGCCAACGTTCCAACCCTTCTTTCGAGCACTTCCCTGGATTCTCTGGAACTCCTGCTCTCTAATCAGCCAGCTCATCGGTGTCAAGGTCCTCACTCGACTTCTTCCACAGCGCGCCTTACCTGTCACCCCGAGGCCGCCACTCTCCCCGTGGCCCTCTGGTGGAAGCTGCCCATCCTTTCACATCCCACGCAGGACGTGCCTGTGTCCTACTGGGCCCCACACTGCAGCTTTCAGACCCTGCACCTACCCACCTGCACACTCGCTTCTCTTTAGAGGCCTCTGCCAACAACCTTGATTACCTTCTCTCCCTCCTGGTCAGGCACTCCCTCACTCATTGGAGCCTTTGGCAATGGTTTTCACTCTTGCTCTCCACCTCAACTCCTGTCATCTCGGGTCACCCTGGGGACTTCAAAGGCAGGCACAGAGGTAGGGTAGTAGTACCCGCAGGTTCCCCCTTCCACACCACAACCCCAGTTTCTTCACCACCTTCCTATCCACGACATGTTACTCCACTCCACTACAACTACAGCCTCGGCTCTGACATTGCTGGAACCGCCCAGCTCTGAAACCATTCATTCAGGCTCTGATCACACACCCTATCCTCAGGTGTGTCTGCTCCCCTACGCTGGATACCTCTGTTCTTCTACCTTTTCAGAACCTCTCATACACAGACAGCTCCTCGTTCTATCAGGCCCTTCCAGCCTTCATTTTCTTTTCTAAATCGAGCTCAGGTCTTTCATTTCAGTCATTTTCTTGTCAATCTCAACTCCCTTGCCCAGACCTGGATTGCTGAGTACAACTGGAGAAAAATTACACAACAGGTGTAATGGAGCCACCATACGTGCATGGTCCCATACTCCAACAGACCCCCACCACCAGCAGATAATCCCATCTCTACAACTATTTCAAAGACTCTCCACTCTCCTAAAGCATCCTAGTCTATCCCAATACTGGACAGATGACAGTGCCTAAAAGACATCAGAACCACTCAACGTCCTGCTCGGATTTATGAACCTACAGCTAGAAGTCACCTACGCTTCCTTCCTCTTAGGACAATTCCTCCACCTATGCTCTAGCTCCCACCGCCCTCTCCGCACCTGCCTGCCATTCTCCAAAACCTACCTTAATTACCTGTTCTTTCTCCTCTACCATCAAACTCTTTCAGTTGCTTCTCCCAAGAGATAGTGCTTCCAATCTTTCACTAAAACAAAGACACCTCTATCTTGACTCCAGACGCCCCTATGTCTTCTATTCCCTCTCCTACCTTTCACAGCCAAATCTAAAAAGTTTAGCTTCCCAACCAGCTTCAAAATGGTTTGGTCATCTCTGACCTCCATGTCATCAAAACCAGTAGGTACTTCTCAGTCCTTTTTACTGGCATCTCAGCAGCATTCGGCAGTTATTCTCTCTTGAAATAACCTCCTTCCTTGGTGATTTTAAGACAAACCGCTCCTGGAGTTCTCAACTCTCGGCCCCCCCCAAGTTTGTTTTTTAACCCCTCCTTTTTGGCCGGGTGAGAATATTTCATGTCCACAGGACTCTCTCGGGCCTGTCTTCCCTTCTCATGCTACGCTTTTCTTCCAGGCCAGATCCACTCCAATGTCATCAATTACCATCCATGTTCTAAAGACTTCCAATTTTATATTTCCAGCCCAGATCTCTTACCTGAGCACCAAATTTGTATATTTCACCGACCTCTCAGCACTGCATAAATTGCTCACAGATGCCTCAAATTCAGCATGTTCAAACATTTATTTACTGTTTTGTCCCCTGCTGAGCCTGCCTCTCTGGAATCTCCGATGTCAGTTACTGATGTCAGAAGCCTGGGAGTCACCCTCCTTACAGTGGGCCGAACTAATCAATGTGGTCGAAGGATGCAGTTTGTAATTAATGACGTCAGGTGACCTCATTGTTTGTGATGGTTCTCAGTCATTTATGTTTTGTGTGACTGCTACCATTTTAAAGTTCTGAATTGCCATTACACAGATAAAGATTATATTTCACATTTTAGAGCCAATATCAACTTCTCGTCTCATAGCCAAATAGAAAAAAAAGTCATGAGAATCCATCGGGAAGATGTTGGAAAGGAACTACATCTTTTTTCAATTATTGTGGTCTTTGTAGTTCAGTTATCTAAGTTTCAAAACTATCATTACCCTAGAATCCCAGATAGTTTGGGTAAACAAATCTTCCACTCCACAATGAAGTCGCATTTTTGTTATGCGTATGTGTTCCACCGTATGTGCTTGTCAAAAAACAGATTCCAAGAGAGAAGTAAATTGATACTAGTGATTCTACTTCATATTTCAGAGTATGCCCCAGAGTGAGCATGTGAGGGGAGGT